GAGTGAAAACACCTTGATCTGAAAATAATGATTAGATTAGTTTCCACTGAAAACAACTACCATGAACAATACTAAATTTCTTGAAGGACACGATGCAAAGAAACACCCACCTCATTGGTCAGGTAGGTTGGCAAGAGGGAGTCTTTGCGCTGCTGTAAAAAGAAAATAACCATGAGGGCGAAGACATATGGTGGCAGCCCACCTTCCTCTGCACGGTCGATTTCAGAGATCTAAAACAGAAATGAGGAAAAAGCGTTAAGAACAGAGGTATGCTCCGCTCCTTTCTCAATTTGCCTGGCCGATGAGAGCAACAGGTCAGGGTCTCAGTGGGAAACATACCTGTGCCCAGCGTCTGAGGCCCAGAACCAGTGGGAGGAGAAGATGCTCCCGATTGGCGAGAGCAGAAAGATAGGAGGTGGTTTGAAATGCGTTTTCATTCCCTGCGCTCACTTTGCAGGTCAAGCCACTGTTGAGAAGAAAAACAGCATTCAGTGTTGTTTACTGCCATTTTTCACCTGGTAAGGTAACCCTGATATATCTGAAAGATTACAGCATTTCTCTAGATCAGAGTTTGACTCATCAATTTGTCTTTAAAATAATCTACTAACTGAGTAGCTGCTGGAGACACCCACCTCTTTCTCTCTTTGCAAATGACAACAGGCACCCGGGCATGAAAATCTGCTTCCATGTCAACAAAGGCAGCTGAGGACACAACAAAACATGTTCAGTTTTCATCTTCTATAACAGTCCGGCATCTGACATGAGTTTCCTATGGTGGAATATGTTCATGAGGGAAAAAAATCTTGCAGTTAAATGAGTAAGAGGTGACTCACGGCTCACAGAGAGACATTCCTTGACCAACAACAAGACGTCTGGCTGATGCATCTGTGAATACATCCAATTTCAAAACCCTTATACAACATGAACACAATATAAAAAAGAACATGTGAATGTGATGTGTCTTACAAAGAACATCCTTAAAAAGTTCATGGAAATATATGAATCATCTCCACTGTAATAACTGTGTCTGCTACATATTCATTTCAAAGTAGGATGTTGGTGTTATATATTTATTCTCTTATTTTATGTATCGTCTTGTACATTTTGTGTCTGTGACCTTGTCAAAATCAAATCTTGTTTGATGAGAGCTGTCTTTATTGTAAAAGTCATATATCAAACAGTATTCACACAATCAAACTCATTCTGGGCTACTCACGTGAGGTGGATACTGAATGTCAATGTTGACATCAGAATCCTTAAATCCAAACTTGGTGCAAGATGATCCATAAAGCCTGAGTCTGATCTCTACAGGCGAGAGAAATAAGAGAGGGCATAATGTTATTTGCGTTCATATTTAATTTAGATCACATCTCTGTCACAAAATAAATACTTTGTCCTCGCGTGACATACCAGGCAGGACGGACAGAAGGAGGTCTTGCATGACGGAGACGACACACTGTCTCCTCTCAACATCCTGGTCGTTCATCCCATGTTCCAGGACAACAGCCTCTAGAGCAGCAGTCACTGCACTGATCTGCTCCGGACCTGGAGGCAGAATCTCAGTCAGCATCACCTGTTCTTGCCTCTCCTGAAAACACAAACACACACACAACATCCATTACTGACAATACAGTTGGATAGCATAAACTAAATGTTTATTCCCATCCCAATCCCATAAATGATTATACAAAATAAATCCATTTCTTACCCTCACTCTTTTTTTGTGCCGTTTGTCTCTGATGTGCCTGTAAGCGTCAGACACAGATTCCAAGAGAACATCACACAGAGTGCAGGTGTAAACTGCACCTGGGTTACTGTGGGGCTTCTGAGACAGTTTAAAAAGGGGAAAAAAACAGACATTAGACAAAGCAAATTTACACCAGACTTTAATACCACAGTGGATGTTGGTACCTTCTTCAAGCAGTAGATCCCGTCTTTGTTGAGTCGATTCTCTGCCTGCCGCAGGCTCTGCAGCTCTTTGGCTGATAGTGTAGAGTCTTCATTCACAATGGTCCTGTTCTCTTCACCAAAAGCTTTCTTCCTGTTTCTGTTCCTCCGTCTTTTCCCTTTGGATGGAAGACAAACATGTGTTAAACATACAATAGTGTGTTTTTGTGGGGATGTTAATCAGTAATGATGGATGTTGGATGTGTATCCCAGTTTAAAAAGTTTCCACCTGGGTTTGTGACAAACTTAGTGTTCCACTCTTTCCCCAAAGTCAGATGTCCAAATCTTTACCTAATTTATGAGCGCTGCCATCGGTGTCCTCTCTCCTCCCCTGCTCCCTGTCTTCCTTCGGACCGTCTGCCTGGACACTCCTCCTCCAGTGCTGCTGCTGTGAACGCTCTTTCCAGCTATCTTCTCTGAGCCCACCACTGTTCTCGGCACCTTGGAACCAACGTGTGTCATCCTTCTGAGAGGGACTATGGCCGCCTCTAAATCCACCAGGGGAGTAGCTCAGAGGTCCCTGCGCTCCTTTCCTGGGGCTGGCCCGAAAGGGCACACCCTGATTCTTCTTGCCTTGCTGACCTCCCTCTGGTCTGTAGTTCTGTCCTCGACCCTGGTCTGGGATCCTCCAGATTTCTTCCTTGTCTGCTGCTCCTCCCCTCTCCCAGCCGCTTGGCCTGGTCCGGTAAGGCCTGCCCGAGTTTTCCATTGTTCACTTATGCTAAAACTGAAGGAGGACATGGTCAGATGCAAAAACAGCAGGATGTCATGTTCTCTTATTATGGTTTTCATTTGACTAAAACCTGAATGTAAACAGCATCGCCTGACAAAACATTGACTTATTCAGACTCATCGTCTATGAAACAGAAGCATGCTACTGGAGCTGACATTATATTACTTTTGGGCAGAAACTTTCATTGGCTGTGACAGCTCACAACTTTCTCATCCTGTCATTAATTCAGACCAGGCTGTGGCAGCTGAATGCAGCACAAACACACAAGTTTACCTCAGTAACTTGTGCAAGTTACTCCAGGAGATCACTGGCGATGATCTGAATCATTTCAGCTTCACGTATTATCAGGTTGTCAGAAAAAAAACACAAACAAAATCAATTAAAACCGACGTTAATTAGCAAAGAACGCTGCGAGCAGAAATCTGACCACCGTGGGAAAAACCGAAGCCAACATCGCTGTTTCTCGTGTTCCCACGGTTACCTCTGATATAACATGAACTCCGGGTTAATCACGATGACTGTTTAAATACTGCAATAATAAACTGTCGAGTTAAACAACGGTTCCAGTCCCTCGGCTGACTGTAACATTAGCCACCTATCCTAGCATTTACCGACGTTGTTGAGGCACGCTCCGTTAGCATTAGCTAGCTCACTAGCCTCTGTGTTGCCTCCGGCGCTTCTTCTCCCTCGGTTTAAATGCACTCACCCTTGTCACGTATGAAGCTAAGTCGATGTCAACAAACCACGGTTAGTCACCACGTGTTACGTTAGCTAGCTTGTCCCCACGTACCCTAGCTAGCTACTACCCCCCCAGTTTAGCTCGTTAGCTAAAGTGACGACACCAAAAACACCTAGCACCCCCACTCCCCGAGCTAGCAATAGCTAGCGTTGCTGTTTATTTGAGTTTTCCGCCGGTGTAACGTGCAGCTGAGGCAGGAGACAGCCACGGTTCAAGCTTCTGGATGACCATCGGTGGAAGGGGAGCCATTAAATACCTCTTGTCGGGGGAGCAGACCTCATACTTGGAGCCTTGTTTAGCTGGTGACCGCTTGTGGTGAACTGGAGTTTGAGAGGTGAAGTCCGGACGGATCTGTTTTGTAGCCGTCAGCTTTACAGTTCCGCCCCCTGCGAAAACAGCTCAGGCTGCTTTTAACCCGAGACAAAGTTATTTAAAAAAATACCAACCATCATCATAAACCGCAGCGACGCGAACCCGAGACAACGGAGGGAAGGTTTGGAGCTGGAATTCCAGCTGTTTGGGATAAACAATGACGTAACCACGGTCAGACACTGTATGTCTGTGACCTTCGACTAACTCAGAGAATAACACGTCTCTGTCATTCAGGATTAACTGTATAATTGTAATTGGTCCTTTCCACATTCATTTCCTGCCTAAAATGTTATAATAATTAAAGTCGTTGAATGATAAGGACAGTAACAGTAATAATAATACACTTTATTGGTGTAGCACATTTCAAAACACAGTCACAGGGGGGCTTTACAAGTCAAACATTTAACAGTGAAGGCAAACAATAAAATCTGAGGATCACACAGCATATAAGAAAATAAACATCTCCCTCAATTTCCCAGTATGGGATCAATAAAGTACACCCTTCTATTTCTATATATCTGAAAATGTATCATCAAGAGAGATTTGAATTCAACATTTTAGAGAGATTTAAAAGATAAAGGTTCACTGTGTAGAATCTAGTGAGATCTAGTGGTGAAGGTGCATGCAGCTGAAAACCCCATCGGCTCCTGTGAAAAACATGGCTACCTTCATGACCTGCTCCTGATGTGATTATACAGTATTTAAATATAAAAGTCCCATTCTAGGGTGAAGAAAACTCAATTTCTACCATTTAGATGAAACACACTCGTGAAAACATCACTGGGATTATTTTATATTACATTTCTGCTAATAGATCCCTTTCACCTAAATCTTACACACTGAACCTTCAATTCGTCACTTGTTTAAAACGAGGGGTGGAACTCTATAAGTACAAACTTCTTCTTCAGACAGGATTTGTATACTTTGTTTGTTTGTTGTGCATTTCTTCTAATTTGCTCATACATATATTTTTATTTTTAAACATGTTTTAAATAAACTTGTAGGAAATCCACATTCATAGAAAATGTGTGGTGTGAAACATATTTTTTTATTTAATCTCACGACACATGCAGCTCTTAAGGTGTAACATATGGTCCAGGGTCATTAAAACATGGGGGGGGGGGGTTAATTGTGTGGCCTCGGTTGCCCGGGGCGACTGGAGAAAGGTGCGCTGCACGAGCGGGGAAGACCCCGGGAAAGTGACGTCAGTAGGCGGAACCCCCCCTGAGCGTCCCCCAGCTCGGTGCACTGTCCTCAGTGACACAGCCGGGGACCGTGTGACCGCACACCGAGAACATGGTGTCTGTTGTGCACGGTGACTGCGGATCAGAGGCCGTTCACAAGCGGAGACGCATGAGCGGCTCGTCCCCTTCATCAGACGCGCTCACTCCGGCTCGACAGCGCAGGTCCGAGGCCAGACACAGGAAACAGAAACTCATGTCCAGGCTGAGTGACTCCGGCTTCCAGGAGGACCTGGGAGCCTCTCCGGTGTCTTCCCCGGCCCACACACACTCAGTGTCCCCGCTCCGAGTGCACGAGCCCGCAGCCGGGCAGCAGCTGTCCAGCAGCTGGTTCCTCCAGTACGGAGACATCGGCTTCAGCGTCCAGAGGGAGAGAGAGGAGCACTTCCATCCCTGCAGGAGCTTAGCACGACAGCCACAGGTAGGACACACGAGACATTAGAGTTATGATGATCCAGAAATCTGGACTATTGGTGCAAATCACAATATATGAAATGTTATTTATTTTACATTTGTATAAATGATGCTACTTGTCTGTATAGTTTTAACTTAGACTTTATAGCTTTCCCACTTTACACTAATTACTCAAACTTTATTAAGGCACCTTTCAAGCTTCTTTTCAAATACAATTGCAGGTGATTGACAAAACATATGTTAAAAATGAATTTAAAATGTGTTAAAAAACAATTATAATATCAACAATAGAAATTCAGCAGGCTGCACAAAATGTTAGCCCATAGCTTTTACAGTATTAGTTGTACAAAAAGTAGTACATAAAGCCCAAAAAAAAAATGGCAATGATTCTGTTATCAAGCTCTTAGAATATCATTCTAATATATAGAACTTGGAAACTTAAAGTATTTATATCAGCAAACATAAGCACTCATGTCAAGTTCAATCTTCGACATTTTCCACTTTTTAATTCGAATACAAAAATGATTATTATGTTTATTTGTTATTTTATTCTATCAAATGTGTCACATGCTGGTTCTAATGGATTCTGTTTACCTGCAGCTGACGGCAGAGGCGCGCTGTAAGCTCGTCAGCTGGCTCATCCCCGTGCACAAACATTTCCGTCTGTCCTTCGAGTGCTGCTGCCTGGCGGTGAACATCATGGACAGGTTCCTGGCGTCCACGGCGGTGGCTGCTGACTGCTTCCAGCTACTGGGTGTCACTGCACTTCTTTTAGCCACTAAACAGGTGAGTTTACATGCATTTACAAAATGCTTAGACAGATAGATTGCATGTTTGGATTTCATTCAATATAACACCTTTCCTTTCTCTGTGTCACCAAGGTGGAGGTTTGCTCGCCACAGATCAGCCATCTCTTGTCACTGTGCTGCGATGCCTTCACCAAGGAGCAGCTCTGCAACCTGGAGTGTCTCATCCTCCTTCGACTCAACTTCCGCCTCGCTGCGCCCACCCTGGCCTTCTTCCTGGATTACTACACCAACTGCATGGAGGCCGCCCAGAGCAAAGGTGGTGGCAGTTTTGCAAGAAGGAATCCTGACACAAAAAGACCCAGCCGGTGCAGCAACCTCGCACGGAAGGTGTGCGAGCTGAGTTTAGCGGACTATGCTTTCAACCAATACCCAGCCTCTGTGACTGCCAGCTGTGCACTGAGGCTCGCCAGTGAGCTGCTGAAAACTGAGCAGGGGTTTACAGTCCAGTCTCAGGAAGACCAGTGGGACAGTTTTGTGGATGAGCCATGCGTCCAACCAGCCTCATCCGAGAGAGCTGTAGGTCAGGAGGGCTGCAACCACAATCTGGCTCGGGAATGCAAAGACAACCTGAAGCTGCTGGTGTCTCTAAACCAGGAGAAGCTGGATGGGATGGCCAACATGTAGTGAGCCAGCCAGATGTTTGCAAAATGCCAAATTCTACTCAAATATTTTAGATATTATTTCAACAAAACACAGAAGTGAGGATGAAGGATGTTTGGGATGAAGGTAGTTCATCCATAGTTCTGTGGACCTCAGCCATACTTGATACCAGTCACCGAATGTTTTACAACCTAGGTCATTATTTATCAATGAAGTATTTTAAGTCTTTTTATGCACTGACTTGCTGCAGGTTTATATGTTATGTTACTGTTGCAACCTCTAAATGAAGGAGCTGAAAACTGTGCTGTACTGAACTGATTGATGTTGTGAAATAAATGATCAGTAAATCAATTTGTGTTGGTGTCTAATGGTGAAAAATGGAATGAATATCAACTGATGTTTGATGATCACGTGACCTTTCACATTACAGTGACAGGTGTCAGGAAGTCTTGATGACATAAACAAGATGTGAGATTGGACAAAATACAAATGTTGGCAACTTTATTGGAATAATTGGACGTAGCAGAAGTTTCATGTCGTCTCTAAACTGCAACATTTTGACTTTACTGACTTGGCTGTTCTATTACTTTGGTGAAAAGTAAACTATGGATAAGATTAGATGAGATGAGATAAGATAATATACTGTATAAGAAGTATATGCATCAGCGAAGGGGATGCCAAAGATATAGGAAACATCAGTATGGATAATAAACATGCACGATAAACATAAGGAAATATGAACATTTAAGAGATCTATACAAATAGCAATGACATTTACAATGCAAACATGATATATTCAACATAAACTGGATTCGACATGATTGCACATGGTGGATCAGTGGCTTATACATTCAGGTAGCCTCTCTTTAAGAATAGTTTAATTACTGTAAATCCCATAATTACATATCACATTCCTGTAATGGGTTACACAGGTTACACGACCCCTTAAAGGACAAAAGAAGGAATAAATGCTTTTCACCAAGTGTAACTGATTCTTGTGTCTTTCAGTCTATTGTGCTTGTTTGCCAGGAGGTCAGTTTAAACACGTTTTTATTCAACGTTGCATCAGTGTTATTCTGAACTGAACTGTGCCAACACAGCCCGGTCAATTGAGCCTGGGCTTTATCTGATAATCCATTACGCGTGGCATCTCGACCTGCTGACACAGTGTCGACCACACAGGTGCATTCAGCGTTAAGGGCCGAGGAGCCCTGCTCGTGTTTGTTTACTAAAAGAGTCATTTGTCACGAGTGTTTACTGAGCTGTCTGCTGCGATTACCCCCTTTTCCTTTTCCACTTCTCTTTAAATGTGGCAACAGGCGCTGACCTCATTCAGGCAGGTATTTTACGCACGGTTGGATAGAAATTACGCGCGTAATGCCGTGGCCACGCACTATTAAAACCACTGAATAAATGAAGCATCTGATATTAAATAGAATGATATAATGCTATTTGTCCTTCTGAAAGCAATAAAGTCACTTTTGGGTGTTTATCCGAGATTTTATCGACTGTTCTCCTTGTCTTTGTGTTATTTACACTATAAACATGACAATACAAGTTTAAAGTATGTTAAATATAACATGGACATGGAAGGAAGAGGCCATAACAGGCTACATGCGCTTCTGGTTGGGCACTGCATGAGGATATTTGGCCCCAGGCGGAGGGAGGGCAAATCTGGTGCAGAGAAACACCTGCTGCAACGGCGCCGTTTTGCGCGGTACCACTTTACACTTCAGACCTTGAAAACCGTTAGCCTGCACCAATTTAATCTCTGAGGACGCTGTCGCTCCCTGGAGACCGAATAGGTGCATTTGATTGGGCCAAAAGTATGAAACCGCGGCACGCAGAGATACAAACCGGGAGAATGTGGTGTATATATCAGCTCTGGATGGAATCATGTCCCCTTCACTTCTGCAGCCCGATGATGGAGATGCCAAGAGACAGTAACGTGTTCGGGGCGTCCTGCCACAGCCAAATGACCCAGCACCGGAGGAGAGCTGCAGTGAACAGAAAGGTATGAAATATTTGTAATGATGCACACTTCACATGTTGACCTGTAATGATGACAAAACAAATAAAATGCTCTCTACACCTGCAGGATAAAGCGCGTGTGCCAAGGAGCAGCAGTCCGGTCACTGTGTACGTGGAGCTCCCCGGCATCATTGAACAAGGTGCGTGAATCTCTGACACCATATTTCTTATTGTGCATAAGTGAAAATAATATGTGATCAAATAAACAGTGGTTTGTTGAACTTTTTTTTTTGCATTACAGCTTTTTCAACAATTGCATGGGATGATTTGGAGGAGTGCGCATCTGCAGTGAGGAGGGAGAGCAATTCCCTGGGTTCTCAGGTGAGACAACAAACTCCTCTGCACCTTCTTTTTCAATTCATGCATCTATTGTTTTTGCACATCTCGTTTAAATCCGTACATTTCCAACCACTTCGCATGTATCAGAGAGAATTGGCAGATCTTCAGTTCTGCATCACTCCCAGGCTGTTAATGTTTGACACGGTGTGCTGGAATCCTGCACGAATGGCCGTCGTAGTTTACTCATGACACGCAGGCTACCGCTAATTGGCTGGACCTCACAAGTTTTGTCCACAAACTGCCTCTTCGGCACAGATCACCGTGCGCTCAATACGCATTACGCATCTGCACAGCACTCACTGAAATGACCACCAGGACATGTTCTGCCATAAATCCCTGTTTTACTGCTTGGTGGGATTTCCAGGTAGAAGTCTTATGATCGTTTTCATTTATCAGCTGTGTCCTAATATCGATCATTTGTGTTAATCTTCAGTTTTATTTGTGCACAGGTGAATGAATCTGATGCAGATGACCAAGATTTTGGAGATTATGCGCTGGATTTCATGGCAGGTGAGCAAATGAGAATTTCTTCTACACAGAGATTGAATGTGTGTGTCACTGTTACAACTATATAATCATGGTTATGATCTTCATCTGAGGAGATGGTTTGGCTGAATCTCTGGATGTTTGTCTCCTCTGTCAGATTCTCCCACCACGCTGGAGAGCAGTCTGTCTCCAGGTGAACTGGTCCCATTTCAGGGATGTGTCATTCCTCCCCTCACCCCTCAACCAGAGTTCTCTCCAGAGGAAAGTCTCATCAACCCATTCAAAAAAGCTGCTAACCCACCTGCCCAGGATGGAGCTCAGTGGCGGGGCATCGCCCAGTGTCACGGCAGGGCTTTGGGACAGTCTGTGGAAATCAACAATCAGGTAAATGTGAGCAGTGTGGAAATCTGGGGTTGATGACAGTGGCGCACACGATGAGGCAATGCTTGTATGTGATTTGTGTTGTAGTGGATCCAGATTATGCATTTAGAATATTTTGATATGTTAGAGCTTTTCAAGAAATGTCAAAGCCCTGCTGATGACCACTCCAGAATTGAATCATTCACAAACAGTCATGTGTGAAAACTGTATTAACCCCAGGTTACATTTGAAATAACTGTATATTCCTACAGTATATTGGCCTGTTTAGATTTTTTTTTTTAATGATTATGTTGGTAAATATAAATGATTCTCAAACCTGATTTCGTGTATTGCATCTGTAGCTCCAGGAGACTCTTCACCGACAACAGGCAGAGTTTGACTCTCTGCAGGAGAGAAATCTTCACCTCAGGCAACTGGCCAGTCGAGCAAAGCACCTGGCCTCAGTGCTGGAAGTGAGTGACAAACACAGCTTCATCCTGGATACTACATAAATTGAAATTGTTATCTTCATTGATTACATCTGATGTATATTTATATTTATATATTCCATCTTTTTCCCCAGAAACTGATGACAGTCAGAGACCCAAACGAAAGAGAGCCAGTTCTGTGTAGTGGTGATAGAACTTCTCTGAGTCCCTGTAAGCGGCAGCGGCTGGATGAAGGATATGAGACAGAGTCGTCCGACTCAGTGGAGGACATGCTCAGAGACATCAGCACACGCTGCAATGCCGTCCTGCACAGCACTGCCACTGCAACAAGAACACAGCAGGAATCGGAGACCGTGCGAATGTTCGGTGCGTTCTCGGGCCTACAGACTTCTATATCCAAAGACATGAGCATGAGGAGTGACGGAGCAGAGGCTGAGGAGAGTGTCTCATCCTTCAGAACTTCTATCAGAGAGCACTGCACCATAAGGACTCAGGTGTTTCCTCATGGACGAGCCTTCACCTCGAGGACTCAGCAGGGTGGATACAGATTTCGCTGGGTTCCCAACCACAGCTGAAACTATGGTTGACAAATGCAAAAATCAGATCCAATATATGCTTCACATAAACGATGTGAAGCTGCTGTGAAGCTGCTGTGAAGCTGCTGTGAAGCTGCTGTGAAGCTGCTGTGAAGCTGCTGGGAAAGACGGGAGGGAAGTGTGGGTGGGCAGCAACTGTTAATGCTTAACCAGTAATCTATGGTGACATCTGTAAATGATTAAATTATGTCTTCCTCAGGTAGCTCCTAAGCTAATTGCTGGTGCTTAACAAAGGAAATAATACTGCCCAGGCTGTTGTTTACATTGCATTTCTGTTTACAAGCCCCAATGTCATGTTTAGTTTTGCACCTCACAGGATGTATTTGTCTTCAAAAATGGAAAGTTTGGGAATAAAAGTGATTTATAAAAACCCACTTGAGATTTTTTTGAAGTATGGAAAAGGTGACGTTATAGGGGACACTCAGGTGATAGTTAAACAAATGGAGAGAAACCGTTTTCCTTGTTTAACCTTGTGAAACAAATGTGAACCTGTGACCTCTTTAAAAAACAGGGACTTCCTTTCCTTTTGTCTCTGTCTGAGAGACTGTGTGGTCTGAGGCCTGACTCATGATGTATTGCAGCAACATCCGTGTTTGTATCCTTCTCTTTTTTTAAAGATTTTTGTTCTCATATATAAACAGTATTCTCCAGTCTCATGTTACATCTTTCAATCATGGGTGAGGAAAAAACAGAGGAAATCCAAACATGAAGAAATGACGAACTTATCTGGAGAGGATGTGACCTTCTGACCTGTAGGTATCAGTGATGGGATCTTTCTCCAGCCTCACTGTTGAGGGCTTCAGCTGTAAAACGCAGGATTGTGTGAGGCAGCGTGGCAGAGGACAATGTTACACCTCTGCTCAGACACCTGTTTAAACTCCCCGACCTCCCCCTGAGCCGTGTTTACTTTAGAGCAGTGAAGGCATCGCTGAGACCCCTCACAGAACTGCTGCATGCTGCTTCTGTCGTGAACACCGGGATTTGACAACACAAATGAAGATAAGGAGAAATTAAAAGCGAGGTTGAATCATTGACGGCTACATCACCGGACAGGATGTGTGATCAACTAATAAATTCAGTTCAGCCAAAATGTCCAGGGGCATTTGGGGGACCCCATGCAACAGGGACCAAACCAAGTCCCACCCAGGGACACACATAATACCAAACCACTCTTCAAATTATACTTTTATTATCAAAAATAAATCATAAATGAAAGTCAACAAATACTAAAAAGTGCAGACACCCTATGGCACATCATACACTCACATTTTCACATTATAGTCTTTAACCAAACCTCACTCAGCTCAGGCCCCATGAGCCCAATGAGATATACTGTGATTTGTGAATATGGATTAAACAAATATAAAAGTATTGATTGATTGGATTACCTGCTTTGCACATAGATCCCTGCAGATGTGTGGAGCCCAGCCATAAGTGACTGTAAACTACAGTTAGAAAGTTAATAAAATGAAAACAAAGCAATTGATCAGTCAATAAACGCTTATTTGTACAGCCCATATTCACAAATCACATCCTCTGTTCTTAACCCTCAACAAGATATGATCACATGATCCCAATCTGCGATCCACCATCCACCATCCACCATCACAATCCACGATCCTGCAAACTATAGAGGACAAGGAGCCCGGGAAAGAAAGACCTAATGAATACAAGTCAAAGATGCTGAATTAGTGATGGACTTAAGGGATGTTTAACGACCATCTAGAAACAAAACGGGTCACAACTGATGCAAAATGACCAAAGAGGCACAAACCAAATGCAAAATTACAGACGAATAACTAACTACATGGGCCTGTTGCTATTTGAGACTATCCCAATCTGCAGAGCTGCAGAATTGAAACACCTCTTGCATAGTGCTCCATATATCCAGATACCTGACTAACCCTGACCCCAGTGATTGACCTAAAACATTCAATGCCAACAATGCACGTTCCTGCTGCCAACGTGCAACAATCGGGAGGCTGTTGTTGTCAGACCCTCACGTCAGCTCAGCTCAACACCAGCAGGTCGCTGCTCCAGCCTCTTGAACTGCAAACACACGGTTTGTCTCTGGCCTGCAGCGCCGCACACATGCAGCCTCACACCGCAGCTTTGTTTCATAAGCTGCCCGTGACACATTTGACCGGTTAAGCTACCGCGAAACTGCGGGGGGACGGTGCGGGAGGGGTGAAGGAAAACACAGACACAATGAGTCTCTAAGGTGACCGAAGCCAAACCTCGTGCAGCCTGCAGAGCAGACCGAGTCCCGCGGGAAACGAGGCGGAGAAAATCCCTTCATTCACTGAACCTGTGGAGGGATGCTGAGGCTGGAGGGTGGACATGCAGAGGTGCATTGATGTCACGCATTTAATGTATTATCAATGCAGATCATAGATTTAAAACACTATACAACTATTAATTTAAAGCAACAAAAAGAAAACAAGATAGAAGAATAAAACAAATGGGCCCACATAATACTTAATTAGACAATTACAGGCTGTTATTTATTTAATATTATCAACATTTTTAACTAAAAGCCTGTAGTTTAATTAGGCCTCTGCTTATTTTGAGCAATAGAACACATGAAGAAACTATAAAAAATCACAGCATGATAAAAGAAAGATAAATTGAATGAGTTGGAGAAAACCAGCACCTGATGGTTGATATATGATTATTATCACAGGTGCTTTGTTTCATTGCAGCAGTCACGTGTTCAGTCTATTGCTGGCTGTTGATAATCGATGGATTCTAGTGTCTCGTGTTTTTTCTGAGCTGTTCTGTTCTGTGCAGAGCGCGCACCTGGTGCACAGGCGCGAGCCCGCGGTGTGAGCGCATATGGAAGTGACAGGTGGTGACGACATGAGTCCGCTCGCGCCGTTCAGTGAACTTAGCGCCACAGCAGCTCGTCATTACACTGGGACCTGAGGGTCCACAGATATACAGATATATAGATGCATATATATATAGATATAAGCTATTAATTAAAAATATATATTCATTATAATGTATTTTGCTTTAATTTCACGGTGTTGGTGTTTTTTTATTATTATTGTATTTTTTAAATTAGGCTATGGCAAATTGTTTTGTTTGACTACTAGAATAAGAGAAAAATTACTTAAATAGACTAAACTATTTTTTGTTGAATCCCCAGTTTAAAATATAATACTTTACTTAGAATAAACTGAGAATTAAATATTTTTCACATTGTCTCTTTAATTTGGGCAATTAAGTACAAACATTTATTTGACTAAAAATAAATCTTCTTAACTTTTAACGAATCAAAGAATGTATTTTATTGTGAGTTGCAAAATAAAAATAATAAATTCATTTAATAGTTACTGTTATTATTATATTGCTTTTCTGCCAACTGTTATTGTGGAAATAAAACGTTATTAATTAAAGGCCTATTAATATGAATCATACCTTCTTATTTCATTTTATAATAATGATGATGACATAATTGTTTTATTCTTATTATGATTCTTATTGTTATAATAAATCATCACAATGTCAAACACTGATAAAGCTCTGAGTGTGTTTGGGTATTTACCTGACAAACAGAGAAATAAGCGTCTGTCCTTGTGTTATTAACTGATGTGAACACGCTCCAGATTTACAACATCACCGCGTTGCTCTTTTGTTTTCTGTCTCTTTAGTTTCCAGTGGAAACCAACAGGACACGGAGACAACAAGTCCCTGAACTGATCATCACCAACAGATACTCAAGAGCGACTCGGGTCCACGTGTAACCGCCAATAGCAGCTCGGAGGACGGAGCTTCCCGCGCCACCGTCCGCCCCGGGGGGAGTATTTAGAGGCCGGAGCCCGGAGAGGAGCAGGAGAGGAGGCGACAGGTGCACCAGGCATGACCGGCTCCCAGTGCTCCCACTGCCCGCACACAGGGAAGGAAACTCAGCCATGATCGCTGGAGATTCGTCTGGAAACCTCGAGATGAATGGGTGAGCTTTGAGTTTTAATTATCTCTTAGCTGAGCAATATGCAGTGTGCTATATATTCATCTGTCTGTGGAATACCAATGGTTCATGTGCAATCCACTCACCACACATATGTTGCCTCTTTTTACACTGTATTACTTTAATCAATTCATTTTTTCTATATTTTATTTATTTCTTACACTTAAGTATTGCATATTATATACTTACTCATGTCTATTTTGATTTCCCCTGCTGTAATACTGCAAATTCCCCCATTGTGGGACTAATAAAGAATTATCTTATCTTATCTTATGAACTATGTGTCCTTCCTTTCACTCTGTGGCCTGTTGCTGCTGCTGCTGCTGCTGCTGCTACCAGGCAACCACTTCAAACTCTAAACACACGACTGTTCCTCCTTGCATTAACATGTTCAGCATGGAGCGAACAACACTTTATGTTTTAATAATCCTCAATTTACTGAATAATTATATTTGGAGGTATATGGAGTCCACTTTTGTTGAAGTTTTGCATGTGGGGAATGGTTTTCTGATGATGATGATGATGAGCAACTTATTCTTTTCTTTGTTTGTTCATGACCAGGACGATATGAGGGAAATGTTCAGAGACTTTGTGGGGAAGAGGAGGAACTACCCCTTCAAGGTAAGAGGGAATAATAATCTGTAAAATTGGAATTCTCTCTCGCCATGGCCCAACAACCTCCACCCAGGATTAGTTCTTATATTTCTCATAGTCTACCTTTTCATTTTAAGCTTGTAAAGCACCTTGTCGCTGTGTTTTGAAAGGTTCTATATGAGTAAAGTTTATCATTTATCATTATGTCTAATTTAAAAAGAAAAAAGGAAGTGGTTTCATGACCTAAATGATTTTATAGTTTAATACAACATATTGTCAAAGAAACACTGCAACTTTTTTTTTACATTGAAACAGCGGATTCAAAATTGAGTTTGATGGTTCGCTGAGTTGGAATAGAGAGAATCTTTCCTCATTCATTCCCGCTCCTCACCCTGAACAGTCCTGAATGTTCTAGCTCTATGTAACTTCAGTGAGTGGGTACGATCTCCTTAAAACGTCAGACTCAGGTCCAGCAAGTTGAAGAGTAAAGCTGAACTGTGGCTCAGTTAAAAAGACCGAGAAGTCATTCTAAACCAGAGTTTATCTCCAATGTTCAGCAGGAAACTTTAAAATATGAAGAATTCTAAACAGAGTTTGGTGAATTTGTATCAGCGGCAGCTCTTCTGGTTCAGGAAGCCGGGGATCATGGGTAATATCCACTGTTCCAGTTGTGTTTCCCTTCAGTGAGCGGGACTGAAGGGGGCGCTGTTGCTCAGTAAAAGTTACATCGTGTTGCTTTAAAGAAGGTGGGGGGAAAAAACAACCCTGTTGTTATATTTCATCAAACTTAATCTGTTCGCACACTAATATCTATTATTGGTGTGTTTCTACTCCATTTTATCGTCTGTAAAAAATGACTTTGTTTATCTCATTGTATAGATAAATAGATTAGCAGACTGATGGATTGACTGATGGTGACAGTGTGGCAGTGACCGCTGCTGGCTGTGTTACTGTACGACTGACAGCTGCCAGCTGCACTCCTCACTGCTGCTTTCAACCGACCTCTGAGAATTGTTGCTTTCATACAAGCAAACCTCACATTTAACAGTTAACACCATGATTAACATTCATCTCCGTTCACGTGGCCTCACGAGCTGTGTGACTGGTTGGGAGGCAGTGTAATGTTAGCTGACGTTTTCCTGTGCCAGCTCACTCTGCTCTGCTACCTTAACAGTTCACATTTCACCGTTTATACTGTGCGGGGTCGAGGACACGTTCATCCTGATTCACCGAAGACTGTTTGCAAATAGGAGAGAGTAAGGATTATTTTGAGATGTGTGGTTGTTACGCTGTCTTGTCGTGGGTGGCTGGAAGGCAGTGTCTTGTTAGCTGGTTGAATGTGTGAGTGCCAGCTTACCTGCTGCTGCCCTCCAACTGTCCACATTTAAATCCTCACCAGCAGCTTCTGCAATTACCGTGAACTTCTACTAATAAAAAAAAAACAAATATATCAGCATCAGTATGCATTTGTGTTGCATTGCAAGCAAGTTGGTATAATAGACTGATGCCTCCTGGTGGCTGGCTGCAGTATAGGTCATAAACTCCACCTTCTCTGTGTTAGTAGATGGACTAAAATAAAAATTTAAAGTATACGTTCGATCATTTTTTCTCAGAGGTTGTTTCTGTCATTGTAGGTAGTTCTTACCAAACTGATATTTGTGAGAATTCTTCCAGTAGTCAATAGTTAGTATTTACATCTGCATGTGAAAACATGCAGATGTAAAAACATTTTTCTAAATAGCAAAAACATAAAAGATTCCAGGCCTATTAGCTAAATCAAAAAATGATGAAATCCTTTTATTGTTGGATGGATGTTTCACAATTTGCTGGGCTCAGATCAGTCAAAATTGCCTTAATTGGAATGCTTCACCTTAACAAATAGATTTTGACGTAAACATTAGGAAAGTAGAGACGCGACTAAGCCAAAGTAAATGTGTAAAAATCCAACGCTAAACAATTCTTCAGCCGCAGCAGTGGTCATCAAAGTTCTTCATCGTTGTCATTAGCAACCACAGGATGGTCCCCATTACACACAGATACACACATATTCTGATGTGCTTTGCTCTGACACTGACAGCATTTGTGTCTGAAGCTAGTGGATCATTTCTGGAGACGTCACCCAAACCAAACTCACTGGAACAGTTCACAGTCCACCGCTTGTGACTCCAGCACAGGAAACACTGACATGAAAACAGCTGTGTGTCCATACGCTCCATCATAGCTCCACGCGTTTCTTTAAGATGATTTCTCGCACCAGCGCCGTGGCCTCCTCTCGAACGCTTTCCATGGGCTCGTCAGTTCGCCAGAAGCGGATGACTTTCCCCTCGGGATTCACCAGAAACTTCCAGAAGTTCCACTTTGGAATTTTCTTCACAGAATCTGGAAAACGACACGTTTTCATAGAGTCATTAAAGATGCATCTAAAAGTTTGAGTTTAGCCATGAATCGAGTTGGATTGTTATTTTAGCAGAGCTGTGTCTAATGTGAGATGTCACAAGGTGCAGTGTGTAGGAGAAAAAAGGAGATTGACACAGAATTGTGAGGCTCCTCTGCCACAGAGGATTCTTTTGAGGAGGACGACTTCTCCCCTAAAGAATCCCCTGAAATGGGCTTTACTGCGGTGGAGAACCATGGTGCTCCAGAGCCACATCAGCTCGAGCCGTGGTAACGATTATTAGAAGGCTAATGTTAGTTAACGTTTGAATAAGTAGTAAAACTAAGTAATTACCATAAATATCTTTGTAGAAGTCAGAGACTAACTAATCAAAAGTGACACACAGCCACCCCTAACATAAACTTCCTTTGTGTACTAACTTTGAGAACATGTGTGAGGTACCACAGGTTTGTATATGAGGAGAGGCTCCAGATCAGCTTATAGCAAACTTCACCTCCAGTAGTTGGGTTTCAGAGAAGTCACATGTATATTTACTGTCTGCACGGGTCAATACAAACATCCAGTGAGTATAAATCAGTACCAGATCATTATTACAGGTACAGTTGAGCTTGTGTGCACATGTGTAATTGGACAGATGTGTGGTGTGTCTCTCTGACCTGTGAGGAACCTGAAGGCAGGGTCCGCCTCTGAGCCCATTATTTTGATCTTGCTGAAGAAGGGGAAGGTGATTCCGTACGTGGACTTGGCGAAGGCCTCGATGTCCCGGCTGCTCCCGGGCTCGGTGTCCCCGAACTGTCCGCAGGGGAAGGCCAGCACGTTGAAGTGAGAGGTGCCCAGCTCCCGGTGCAGCTCCTGCAGAGACATGTAGTTCACCTCGGTCTGCTCGCTGAGACTCGCCACGTTTACAACCAAAGACGCCTGACCATGGAGGGAACCGCGCGTAAACGTTTGGTTATTAGATGCTTTAAGAAAAGACTTATTCTAAAACTCATCTCCCGGTGGATAACCAGGACAAAGTCTTCTCAGATTAACTCTCAGAAGTGACATGATGATGTGGACTTACTTTTCCTCGGTACTTCTCCAGAGAGACAGACCTCCCCTTCGCGTCCTTCACCTCGAAAGAATAAAAGTCTTGGGGTTTCCTCGGCTTCACCAGCTGCGTCTGCAGGAGGAACAAACAGCCCACACCCACCGTCATGCTCAGCAGCACCTTCAGCCTCTTCGCTCTGGGGCCGGAGGACTTGGTGGGGTAGCCCCCTAAGGCCTCCATGTTGGAGGGGGAAGAACAGATCGTGTGTCGGTGTCCGGGGCTCCAGACGTGTCGGGGCGGACGGAGGAAGACTCTGCGTAAAAGTCCCTGAAGTACACCAGGATGGAACAGGAAGCAAGGGGATGATTCTGTCAAAATAAAACCAGTCTCACCAGCAAAATAAAAAGTACATTTCACCTATTTGAACTATGACAGAGTATCAGGACCGGATTGAAGGAAAGAATTCTGAAATTTAGAGATTTATGTAATGTAATATTGCGAAATAAATGAAGTTGGAATTGAGAATCATAATATTACAAAATAAAGTCCTAATTTAATTAGGGAAAACCATAGTGACACAGAATCAAATCCAAATTCAATGAAAAAAAGTCATAATATTACATGAAAAATTACACAATTTAACAATTAAAAAGTAATGATATTGAGCGTATGAGAATAAAGTTCTATAATGAGGATTAAGGTGTAATTTAATGAGAAATGTCATCAAAAGTATTACAAAAGTCACAATATTACACAAACATAGATGTGGAAATTGTAGAATGAAAATAAATGTAATCATTAAATCATAGTTGCTTAATTAAAAAATATATGTGTATCCCTAGAGCAGGATTTATAGTCTAACATACATTCATATGATGACTGGTCTCTTAAGAGGAAAACAAGGGTCACAGGTTAATGTAAAGGTCTTTTACTTTGAAAGTGTAAACCAGAAGTATTGATCTTAATTTGAATGACGTTGCAGTGAAGATTGTTTTTTTGTCATATTCAGACCTGCTGTAGTTTTGTTTAAATTATTTTTCAGTAAGTTAGAATATAATTTATTATTATCATTTGTCTTCTCAGGGACAAAACGACGCTTGTAACGTTTCATACAAACGTTTCAAGACGTGGATCCACTTCCACAGGAGCAGCACCGAGGCTCCTGCTGTGAGTACACCTCTGACCACTGGGCGGCAGCAGAGGGAGCGATGCTTTGAGTTGGACACGGTGTGTCAGAGGCTGGAGCTGGACTCTCCGCCCACACACCATGAAGCAGCACGCAGAGGCCTGCAGGGGGCGCTGCGAGGTTAGTATCTCCACAACCAGCCTGGTCCTGAGATACTGTGACACTGACCTCTCCAACACCACAGGCCACTTTTGGGGACATTTCATTGTCTTACAACCTTTTTCTGAAGATTTATCCCAACACCAGCCACGACCCACTGTTACTTTCACTTTGTTTCCCCCGTTTCCACCAGAGGGAGCCGAGTGCTAGCGCTGGTTGGTTTTTTCATGTGCTGGAGCCTCACATTACATCAGCATATACTTCACTGGCTACGTCTCTGATTTCCCAGCAACACTTGTGCCGACTACCAGCCAGGGTCGGGCGATTGGACGAATATATTGTCTAACGTTGATTAGCTGAGTCCATTGTCATTTGTTTTTTAAATTTTGCCGATGTAATGGTCTGCCTCCTTGAGAGCTGTATAAATGAACCCACCAACTGGCACTTATACTTATACATTATATTAAATCATATATATTCATTCAGTCAGTCCATCCTGACTCCTCTCTCTCTTTCTCTCTCTCGTTTTCACGAAGTTGGGGGATGGATGAACGGACACAGTGTTGGTTTTGCCAAAACTTTTTCAGTCAGTAGAGCAGATGCCTCGGCCAAGGCCAAATAAATAAACCACATTTAAATTGAATCGATCTACACAGACACGGTAGATTTAATCATAATTGATGTTAGTTTCTGTCTTATCATTTGTCCTCATCAGAGACAACACTGGAGGGACGTTTGTCTGTTATACCGCTGAACATTTCACACACCATCAGTGCCAGGGGACGACCTGCAACACAAAATGTCCCACAACAGGTCTGTTTCAGAAATGTGAGACTGCGCCTCTGCAGTTTGGTTTCTGTGTGTGTGTGTGTGTGTGTGTGTGTGTGTGTGTGTGGGTGTGTGTGTTAAGAGATGCAAATCTTTGACAGGGTGCTGGATTTCCTCCTGCCGTGCTGACTTTCAAAATACAGAAAATGTTGTCTATATCTGCAAGATCATTTATATAGATAAATATGTTTGAAAAAGAACATGTTTATATAAAATCATGTAAAATATCTAATCTAATGACAATTTTTTTTTTTCACAGGGATGGATGTGGAGAGCAGCAGTGGAAGAACCTGTCAGCACACAACAGACTGGTAAAGCATGCAGACTCTTTCTTCACTCGTACTTCTACACTCGTACTTCTACACACACACTAACACACACACACACACACACACACACACACA